ATATTTAATAGAATGAGAATTTGAATTAAACTGTTGAGTGAAATGAATGAGAAATTAGCAGAAGAGAACACTTTTAATGATAAAAGCTATGAGAGCGATCGTAGCAGCAAGGAAAAGAATGAAAACCCTGTTAGACCCTTACGAGTTAATGACACGCATTGTCAGAAAATGTGAGAATGAAGAGTATTGCCATCAACTGACCGCAGTTATATATACGAGTTAAAAACACCATCACAATGACGTTCTCTCACAACATAACAACTGCACGAAATATCAATTTCCCAAGCCCGTGCGTTACTCCTCAACACCTCTAAATTGCCCACAACGGATAATTTCACCCCCTTTGAGAACCACTGCTCTAGGTGCATATTGTGGTTAATTGAATCGTGAAGTTATGAAAACAAGAGACACTTTCGTAACGTTAACTCAATTAATGATGATAATTATAACAAATCCAACCTGACGGCTGCGGCAATGCGTCCAAAAGTTGTTGTCTTTGAAACGGATCAAGGATGTTGTCAAACGGTTTCATCGATTTCATTCTTAATAATAACGCTGACTGTAAATTGAGTGATAATTGCGCATAATAATTCTTTAATTGTTCTAATAACAACGCTGAACAAAGCAAACAAGTGGTTTACGTCAAAACAGACTATCACGAGCTGTAATTTATCATCATTTCACATGTCAGGTCAAGGATCGGTGAAATCAATCAACCGCGAAATAAGTGAACTTCAACAATTGATTTCGTTTCAAGGTCTCGTATAGAGTTCACTGAGGCCGCAACGAATACTTCAACTGTCATATTCGATCAACGTAATATCTTTTGAAAGAATGACTGAAACTGAAAAGGAATCATATAAGTGAAAATGACGGGATTATGATTGATTACAATAATGCGTTATTGAATGCTTGCTGAGCTTTGATGAATTCCTTCAGTAGTTGATCTCTTCTTATCAATTCGTTTGGATCCCACATAAGATGAATTGTCGACAAGAAATCATCAGCTGAAGATGGTTGCTGAAAGATTATGTAAGAATTATTTCGTTGTTTCTTTTTTGATTGAAATAATATCCTGTGTTGAATCAACTTGACAAGATGATCAACACCATTCAAGAGTGATTCATCATGAAAATACCGATGATGAAATCGAAATTTTGATGATTCTTATTTAAAAAAAAGCAATATCCGATTGAAATGGGATATTGGACTAAGAATGGGGCGTTGCTCATATGTTACAGCCTCCATGTCATGATTTTCGCATCACGAAAACAAGCCAAGTTGAAAATATCATTGAAATATTCTTGATCCCGTGAAAATAAGTGCATTATTCGGAGACGGAACTTCGTAAGAGTCACACGGAAGAAATCTGTCATTAATGAGATAAGGTGAAATACACAAGGAAATTGCTCTGTCTAATTATTCATTCGAAGAGAATCGCAGTTCGTAAAGAATACACGTACTAGGTGCTACCTATTATGTCGATAGCTCTTTCATCATAATCTTCGTAAACATAAGAGTGGCACGGATGTTATCAACGTAATCATTTGGTCATGACACTCAGTCACTTTTTAAAATGAATGATTTCTGCTCGAGTGAAGGTACACTAGACTGTTCCACGTAAATAGGTTCCTTCAAATGACGCCATAAAATCATCCGAAACGATATGAAAGTATCTTTGAAAATAGACAAACCTGTGCATTCGAGATGAAGATGAAGCACATCCAATGAAGAAATAATGCCGTCAATCGAAACATTGCATTCAAACTTGAGAACGCTAGAAACAATTTTGTTAAAAAATCACAATTCAATCCGAACGACAGAATGATGACTAACAATATCGAATTTATCTGCACCATCTTCGAAACAAACCTAGCCATGTTAAGAACAGTAATCAAGAAGTTAGCGACATCAATAACGATAAACAGCGAAAAAAATCCACATTTTGATCCTTCATTTTGAGCTTTTTTTAAACGTGAATAATCCTGTTCTGGAGACTCAATTCGATTTCATCAATGAATTTTGATAACATTGTATATTTCATCACAAAAGATCCTTTCAGAGATGAAATCAACAAGGACAACACGAAACAAGCAAACAGCAAAACAAGTACAAGTTGATATCGTCATTGAAATTATTGCTCGATAGGGAAACAATCATATCACGAGGATTATCATCAGAACCGCATATCAATCAATACCGCATCAAATGAAACTTGACAGAAACAAACTGAATTAGCTGGTACGGCAATTTCGAGAAGTTGTTCTTAGAAGTAAGTCTGTGAAAAATCAAACCAAAATAACATTCAGTGCTAAGATGCGATCTCAGACTGACAGGATTTCAAAGAGAAAGAGCGCATCAATTATCTTATTTTATTCGGGGTGGTTTAAAAACAAGTATTACAATAAGGATTAATCATAAAACGATTAATGTTTTAAGAGCGATAAAAAAGCTGATCGTTTTTTTTTGCGAATAGCGATTTTGATGAAGAGGAACATCAATGATACATCATCATTGAGCCGAGCAACGCACTACGACATGCTGAGCATAAACGAGAAAGAATATTTTGAATCATTGGTGAATTAAAGTGGATCGAACTGAATCGGCGAACATTTATTTGTCTTGAGACGAGCGATAAATTAAATCAATTTGTATGACTTCAGCATAGACTATTGTCTGATTTCAGTGGTTTGTCACCACATGCGATACTTTTGTGCATTTGAATGCAAACACACACACACACCCATATCCTCAGCATCCATTGAAATTGCTGTCATTATAATGAATTCAACGAAATTGGAATGATTCAACGAACAAACCTACGGTATTCCTTATGCATAACGCCATTTTTTAGCGCTTCGTTAACTTCAATTTTTTTCAACAATTCCTTTGTATTAATTGGTTTAGTGGCAATTGAAGTTCATTCAATAATCATGAGGAGATTTAGCGTTAAATCAAATATTGCACATAATTTATCGGAAATTTGTGTCGATGAAGAAGAAGTCATCTGCTCGAGAATTGAAACGAAGACACAGATACGAAACTCAATGGATTCAGCGGATTGCAGCAAAGAAAAATCTGATTTGAGGATTACGAAAGAATTGAGGATTCCAAAAGATGTGACGATTATTGGATTTAAAAAATCTGATCTAGGATGAGAAGAAGTTGAAGGATTGATCGTGCTATTGGGTAATTTTCGAAGAAAATATTTTGAAAGTGAATTTCATTCTGGAAGTGAAAATTGCTTTTCTTCAACCTGAAGTGACGAAATCATGAACGGAATGCTTAATATCACTTCAATAGCAGTAGATAATGCAATCCCAATAAAGCAATCCGTCCTGAAATCAGTTTCGTCCCTGGAATAAAATTCATTCTACAGACCAAAGATGCTACAAGTCCTGCAATATGAGGTTGAATAAAGATTGAAAGTGCATTAAGTATCTGCACGATGTAATATCGCTGTTATGTTCAGATAAATAACATAAAATAATGAATGATAAATTAATCTTTCCCTGGAAATTTAACTTTTCGAAGCGAAAATCTGAAGTGAATGACTGAACCACCATAATGCATTTTTAGTTGTTATAAAGACACACACACACACGTAAAATAAAATTCAGCACAATAAATTTCATCTGAAAAACGCGCGATTTGACTCAACAAGTTTGAAGGTGAACAAATCATCCATTGTTATTCGATTTTATAAGATAAATTCCAACGAGAAATGAATATCTTTATCGCTTTGTTAATCTAATCTTGAACCGAATTCCTTCATCTCGCTGGAACGATACTTTTTTATGCAAAAGTACTTATTCGAACAATAATTCTTTGCCACTACCTTTCTCTCCACTCACCGAAAGCTGTCTCGTTCACAAAATCTGATGACGTTATGTGTCGTCATTTCACTGTTCCAGTAATAATTCGATCACCCTTTCGGCGTGCATTAATTTAAGCATGAAAACCCGTATATGTTACAGTGTGTTGCAAAATAGTGCACATTCCCGCACAAGAACAACGCATTATTCAGTTTTTAGCAGACAAAGGAGGTTGGCACGTCATCTGGACATCAGCGGTATGAATGATACCGGTTTCTTAGTCTGTTCAACTGCATATCTCGCTCATGCTCAATCGGTTGCATTATGCAGTCGAGACCATGAAATGACTTATTCCAAGATCAAGTTGTTCGCTTAATTTCAAAACGAATTCCAAATTCACCGACCACAGAGCCTTCACCTACCTTCATCGTCTACTATCAAGGTATGTTCATATCCAATGGT